CAAACCTAGAGGGTAGGATATAATCAAACCTAAGTCTTCAGGTTTCATTTTCTACATAGTCACTGTATTATTAAGGACTAAGTAAAACTGAATAAAGGGCCAGCTTTTTATTACATTCCTCTTCCCTGCTTATCTGATTTTAAAACGAAGTTAAGATGTCAAAGCCACTGTTGAGGGAGGGTGAGAGTGTGATTTGATTCTGCCATTGATACACTGTGTGACCATGCAGTAGTCTTTGAACTTTTTTGAAATTCTCATGCACTATGTCAAAAAGGACTTTAGAACCTGGTTAATAAGATCATGTCTGGTGAGTTATTTTAGGCTATTTTATTCTCAGAATGATAAGCAAATATGAGGTTTTATTAGCATTAGCATCGTCATTGGCTTCAAAGGGAATTTGGCTTTTTCAGAGCTCAGTGGGGTGAAAAAAAGATTAAGAACCTGGCTGGTGATGTTCAAATAAATGTCAGGGTTAAGAATTCAAGGAGAAGCAGAAGAGACAGAGGGAGAAAAACCTTGTTTCATTGAGATGTCAGTGATGAGAGCCAGCTGGAGCAGGATTGAATCCTAAATAAATTATCAGGGCAAAACATACATTTGTGTGCTCTCTCTCTCTCTCTCTCTCTCTCTCTCTCTCTCTCTCTCTCTCTCTCTCCTTACCCCACCCCACAATCCACACACATCCACACAAAATCTTTTAAATTCATTCCTCTGTTATTCAATCTAAGGTATTCCTCATGCCCCTATGTTAAATTCAAAAGAGATGGATAAGTAAAATCACTCTAATTGGACTTCTGACTGCTTTTCTTAATGGATGTGTTAATGGAATTTCCCTACATGTTTAATGTTGCATATATTAATGAAAAATATAGCAAGCCACTTCTGCTAGATTAGTCCGAAACATTGCTATTTAGTCCTAAAATGTAATATCTCTAATCTCCCAGTTTGAAATGGATGGTAATATTAAGAGGAAAATCTTAACATTTTATGGTTGCTGTCATCCTATTGTAGTGAAATCAAAAGTGACCCGTTTTGAACATAGTTTAACATTTGCAATTTTTTTTAGCTCAGCTGAGAGGGAAAAAAAAAACCAAAACTCTGCCTCGTATATCTAATATCTCTCATTGAAATGTAAATCACAGTAAATGACACAAGTAGAAATAAATGGACAAACAGCAGAAAAAATAAAAATGTATTACCTCTCTACAGCCATTTGTCTTCTGATAGCATGAGTAAAGCTTAAGTCAGATACAATTAAATGGACTGAAGCTTTAACAGTGACTTTTGAACTGCTTGAATTAACAAAATCAATCCTCATAAATTAAGCTATCAGGGATCTATGATACAATTAAGTTCCGTAATCAAAAAATGCTACAGTGCATGCAGTGTCACTTGTGCTATTTCTAACACTGAATTTTAACTACTGCTGGCTAGCTCCTCCTGCAGGGTTGTGTAAAACTCCATCTGGCACTCTAGACACTAACGTTATGATACATGGTTTCTTTTCTATTCTTCAATTTAGGCTGACATCTGGTGGTCCAGGGGAACGGCGAGGGACGCTGCTGAATGTAAACCAACTCGCAAATGCAGCTTTCTTCGCCTTTCCCTTTGTCTTTCTGAAGTGCTTGAAATTGCAACCAAACCAGTTAATTACATGGAAGTTCACATAGAATAACAATTTAAGCAGGGGAACAATAAGGGTGAAGAAAGTGACCTTCGTGTGATGAATTATATACATGCAAGTATATCGAACTCTGCAGTCACTAAAAAGCATCAATAGAAAGCACCAGATATTGGCCAATTAGACCCACTCAGAAAGGGTACTATTTAATGGCACCACACTGGGGACCGTAATGGGAATGTGGCCCACGTAAGATTTCCTTTTTTCTTTCTCCTTGTCAGAATAGTTGGAGGGAGGGAAACAAAGGGAGTGAGGGGAAGGGAACTGCTGTGTATAATCAGAGAATGATATTTAAACAGGCACAAGGTAGTATTCATAAGCATTTATCTTTCATTTTTCTTTGGGAAGAAAGGGCCACTTCCAGCAGTTAGCAGCAGTCCAGATGGCAAAACATCTTGGGCCAGAAGCAGGAGCAATTCAACTCTCCCTATGCCTTCGATTTAAAAAAACAAACCTCCAAATACCTCCGATTAATCTACTGTGGTATATTCCACTAATTACCAAATGGTGGAGGAACAGAATGATACATTATCCACTGGATGACTGTCATACCCTTTGTACAATTTAGCAGCACAGAAAAAGGAAAAAAAAAGCTCCCCTGACTTTTCTCACATTCAGCACTTAGCCATACCATTCTATAGTATTTTGACAATGGAAAGTCTTAATAAATGGCCATTTCTGTGTTTAGATTTTTTTTCATGTCTTTTGTAATAATTGTATTAATATATAGCATAGGAAATAAATGTAATACTTGGATTAACTTTGATCTTTATTTATGAAAGGTTCTAGACTGAAAGAATTATAGGGAAAGGTCCCTGTTATGAAAAACACACACACACACACATAAAACAAAACAAACAAACAAATAAACAAAGGTTTTAACCCTGTCCATGACAGACCCTTTTGAATGTTTGGTCAGGTCTCTGTTTGCACTTAACCTTGTGACTCTGAAAAGGTTATTGGAAGGAGTGCCAATTATGTCGGTGAATTTGAAATATGGCCAGAGCCTCCAGGAGGTAGATTCAAGCTGCCAATACCTAATCTCATAAAGGTCACTCCAAAGTTCAAATGAAATTGCTTTTAGTTACTATAAAACTTACTTGAGTTAAAATGATTACGCTAAAGGTAAAACGTTTCCACCTGCTCTTACCAGTCCTTTCTCACGTTTTAAGTGTGAAATTTAGTTCAGTAGTCATAAGATCTCTCAAGAAAGAAGGATTTTATTTTTTAATAAACTCACTATTATATAAACTTTTAAAGAAGGAGAAGAATAAATATGTATTCTGTAAGAAAAGTGCATGCTCAGAATCATCTACAAAAAAAATCAACAAGAAAGGCAATGTTATTCTAGTATACTTCGTGTAACTACTATATTTATTAAGGGATAGGGCAGAGAAAAACAATACTGTGATTTTAGAGGTATTCAAAAAGTCTCTCACAAATATCCTACATTGGTTGATAATGAATTGCTCTGAAAATTTGACATTGGTTCTTTTGTCTTCGGGCTATGTAGCCTCCAAGAATATAATTACTTTCCCAAGAAATCACTTTTAGAAATATGAGTCTTGTTTTTATTAGTCAATTTTTTAGAAGTTTTTTTTTTTGTTTTGTTTTTTTTGTTTTTTTTTCACACATGTAACTTCTATTTCCTCTAGCTATACCGGTCTAGGTATAAAAATTGTGCCATGTTAAGAATTACTAAAACTATTTCTTTGGAAACATAATATGGTATCTTTAACTTCTTCAAAGACTTTACCACATATTAGGCAGAATTTCAAAGATATTTATCATGTATATAATTGTATAAATCCTCCATTCTAAGACCTCCATTTCTAAGTGACCCACATAAAACTTCCCCTTCAGATTTACCAGTGCCACTTCCCACTACCACTTCTATTGTGACCATTGCCGCCACTTTCCTTGCTGATGTGGCTGGTTCCAACAAAACCACAAACACCAGTGTTAGACCTCCTGACAAGAACACTCAATACTGTGGTTTCTCCTTGGAGCACAATGGCAAAACAACTCTTCTAAATCCAGGCTTAGATTTCCTTCCTTCGTTCCTCCCTCCCTCCCTCCCTCCCTTCCTTCCTTCCTTCCTTCTTTCCTTCCTTCCTTCCTTCCTTCCTTCCTCTCTCCTTCCTTCCTTCCTTCCTTTTTTAATCAAGAAAAATGTTGCTCAACTAATAAGTGTAGACATTAAGTTATTCATATGGAATGAAAATACAGTGACCACGGAATTTTGTGATATGGTCCCAATCTTTTTTAAAAATACAGAGCACTCTCAGAAGGAAGCAGAGTTCTATAAAAGGTTAAGGACAAGAGCCAAGAATGCATCTTTCTCCTCCTAGTGGAGAAGAGCTAGACTATTTTTCAATAAATACTTATATTCCTTAATTGGTGCTAGTTTATGCTGGGTGATACTCGGGTAATCCTATTCGAGGATCCATTTCTTAGAACCATACAGACCCATTTTTAAAGCTTATGAGTAGCTTTTGAAGCTTATGAGTAGATGATAGAATAGTAGATGATAGAATAATAAAATACATGCTAGGCAAAATATAAAGATCAAATAATGCACAGTTATGTTTATGTACATGAATTATATTAGTGTTCCTCTTATTTTTCTCAAATCTTGTATAAAGCATGTTTTACAGATATTACCGGTAATGGGACTCTGGCAGAGGGAAAGGAGAGAGGGAATCAGTGAATCTAGTACAGTGATTTTTCACATTCCACCCCCCTCCAAATTCTCATGAGATTGTGGGGAGGGGAGGATTAATATAACAGTTTTTCAAAAGAGTTATTCTTAAAATAGCATCATTCCTTTCTACTATAAGATAGGGAAGTGGAAATCTTGTTCCTTTTCCAGGTGTATCTCTTTGCTGTAGATAAAAATAGTAATAAAAAAAGAAAACTAGTAGCATAAAATATGTTAAAACAAAGTAGGAGACTTATTGTGGATAATACATTTTAAGTTTGGTTTTAGGCAAAAATATAGGGAATGTGTTTAAAACGTTAAAGAGCATCTATAATTTATATACTTATTAATATAGAGAACGCTTTTATTTTACAATAACAATCATTGTTTCTTTCTTTATGCAACAGGGCCCTTTAACAAATGAAATTCAGTCTGATATTAATACTTAGGTATTAGGGGTCTATCCTGGCAATCTTAGAGCACTTTCTGTAGCTTTATCAATTGGACCTGCTATATGCTTTCAGTTTTATTAATAAAATACTGAAAGGGGATCCTTGTTTGGGTCCAAGGCTATTGTGCTAGTCCATATATGTATGTCATACATCCAAGGTGGCTCACCTTAGCTAGCAGGTTCCATTTCCAGATGGTTTGCTTGAGTAGACAGTTAGATTAGAGTCCTCTCTTGTCAGACAGCCAAGAATTGTTGGGATGGTCCAGTATTTGTGTTCCAGAAAAGCAATAGCTAGACGAAGACAGCTGTCATGGCTGCTGAAAAGTCCTTGATATAAAGGGACCAATCGCTCTCTTCTGTTGAAGCCTGGGTCTTTGTTGTTTTATTTTTTTTTTTTTTTACCTGCATAGACACAGCAAAGATGAAAATGGTTGGCATTTGTTTATCTCCTTTGAGAGCCAGTGCCTTTCCTGCCCAGCTGCCTGTCGTTCCAGAAGCCATTATGCATGAAGTGATAGCAGCCAACTTGCAGTTTCCTCGATTCATTCCTGAACAACTTTTCCTTTTATCCTCTTTCATTTCTAGATGTCTACATGGCCTCATTCTGAATGCCAGAACCCAGCAAGCGAGTCAGACAAAGGCAGATTAAGATTTCCCAAATGTTGCAGTTGAATAGCAGCAGCCAATCTTGTCTTAAACACAAGTGTCACAGTCTGAAAAGCATAAGTGATTTACTGTCTTTCCCTTCTCACATAGATAACCTGGAATTTTCATATCTCCAGATTTTTTTTTATCTCCAGGTACTAGAGATAAAAAGATGACTAAAGAGTTGCCCACACCTTACTATATGATGAGATAATGTTTCAAGAGAAATATACAAAGTACTGAAAAATGGAAAAAGCTGAAGCTGCCTAAGCAAGAGAGTGGAATCAGTGAAAAGTGGGACTTGAGGAATTAGTGTATTTAGTAGGTTGAGAGAGCAGCATGGTGTTTTAGAAGGAAGAAGGGAAAACCCCACTTGTGGAAGTAGTGGGAGATGAAACAAGAGTGGAAGGCAAAGCCAGCTGGTTTGCATGATTGCATACAAAATTGAAGTTATATCCTACAGTTTTGAGAAACTACTGATAGAGAAACTACTGATTGAGAAACTACTGATAGGCTAGCAAATAGTGTGATCAGATTTCCAGTATCTTGGAAGATGAGTTTGAATACCAAGGGCTGAGAAAGCAGTTAGGAGTATTTCAAAGGGCTGGTTGAGAGATGGAGAAAGGCTGATAAGAGTGGAAAAGAAAAGCCACAGATGAGAGGTACTTAGGGGGAAATATACATATATTTAAAGGTGGGGATTTTCTTTTGAAGAACATCCACAAATATAGTACCAAGCATGTATGCATTGTATCATTTACCTGTCAAAATGCAGACATTGAAGCAATATATATAACACCTGGACAGGCAAGTTTAAGGGGCAAGATAGGAATATAGAACTTGTTCAAGGAAGAGAGGGGTATCTGAGTAGAGCCTGTGGTAACAGAGCAATAAGGGAGGCAGCAAACGTACTGCAGTGTGCAGAGAAACCCAAGTGTGAAGAGCATCTACTTCCCAACGGCTTGGTTGCATTGCTGTCCTAATAATTCCTCGAAAAATAACAGCTAACATTTCTATTATTTAAGTTTTAAATATTGGCTATAACAGTTCTAGATTCACTTTATTGTGGCTCTTTTATGACAACTGAGAAGATAAAAATAATTTTGTCAAGGCCTTTTTCCCCCTAAAACTGAGTGTATAGCATTGTGCTGGAGTTTTATAAAGACAAAATACATATTCTTAAATTTGTTTTCATGAGTATTTAATGAATGCATAATTTTAGGTATTACTTTCATCAAAATTACACAGATAAATTATTGATGAGAATGCAAAATGCACATAAAACACAGGAGTTGGAATTAATTTAATGTGAGAGGTCAATTCTCCCATATTTATTCCTCTCTGCTATTGTAAAAACATCTGTGAAACATTCTGAATATGTTGCATCAAGGTATTTTCCAAATAATAGATTACTTTAGGTTTCTAGCTGAATGAAATATTTGAATGTATTCATGGCTATTCAAAAGAGTGAAAGAGGTAAATAATTTGCTAAAAACTCCTGGAACTAATAAGTGATTGTAGCAAGGTTGTAGGATATATAAGGTTAATATATAAAAATCAATCACTTTCCTATATCTCAGCAATGAATAACTGAATTTTGCAATTAAAAATACAATACTATTTATGTTAGCACCTCCAAAAATGACATATTTAGGCATAAATCTAGCAAAATATATACAATATTTATATGAGAAAGCTCACAAAACTTTGCAAAAATAAATCAAAGAACTAAATAAATGGAGAGATATTCCATGTTCATGAATAAGAAGACTGTATATTGTCAAGATGTCAGTTCTTCCCAACTTGATTGATAGATTCAATGCAATCTAAATCAAAATCCAAGGAAGTTATTTTGTATATATCAGCAAACTGATTCTAAAGTTTATATAAGAGTTATAAAACATCCAAAATAGCCAAAACAATATTGATAGAAAAAAAGTAAAGTTGGAGGAATGACTTACCATAAAGCTACAGGAGAGAATGTGTTGGCAAAAGAATAGACAAACTATCAATGGAACAGAATAGAGAGCCCAGAAATATACACATATAAGTATAGTCAACTGATCTTTGACAAAGAAGCAAAGGCAATACAATGAAGCAAAGATAGTCTTTTCAACAAATGGTGCTGGAAAAACTTAACATCCACATGTAAAAACTGAATCTAGACACAGACTTTATGCCCTTCACAAAAATTAATTCAAAATATATCATAGACATAAATGTAAAACACTAAAAACTCATCAAAAATAACACAGGGGAAAACCTAGATGACCTTGGGCAAGGTGATAATCTTTGATATACTACCAAAGGCACAATCCATGATTGAAATAATTGACAAGCTGGACTTCATTAAAATTAAAAACGTCTGTTTGCAAAAATCAGTGTACAGAGAATAAAAAGAGAAACCACAGAGTAGGAGAAAATATCTGCAAAAGAAACATCTGATAAACCACTATTATCCAAAATCTACAAAGAAAAACTCTTAAAATTCAACAATAACAAAACAAACAATGCAATTTCAAAATGGACCAAAGACCTTATCAGACACCTTAGCAAAAAAAAATACAGATGGCAAATAAGCATATGAAAAGATGCTCCTCATCATATGTCATTAGGGAAATTCAAAACTTAATGGGTACAATGTATGTTGCTTTAGGGATGGATTACAATAAAAGCCTGGACTTCACCACAATGCAATATATCAATGTAACAAAATTATATTTATGCCCCATAAATTTATACAAATAAAAAAATAAAATAAAACAAAGAGACACCAATACACATCTATTAGACCAAAATCCAGAACACTGATAATAACAAATGCTGGCAAAGATGTGGAGCAGTAAAAACTCTCATTCATTGCTGGAGGGAATGCAAAATGGTATAGCCACTTTGAAAGACAGTTTGAGAGTTTCTTACAAAACTGAACATACTCTTTCCATACTCTCCCGCAATCACGCTCCTTGGTGTTTACCCAAAGGAGTTGAAACCATATGTCCACAAAATAACCTGTACACTGATGTTTATAGCAGCTTTATCCATAATTACCAAAACTTAGAAGCAACCAAGATGTCCTTCAGTAGGTGAATAGAAAAATAAACAGTAATACATCCAGACCATGGAACGTTATTCAGTGCTAAATGAAAATGAGCTACCAGGCCATGGAAAGACATGAAGGAAACTTAAATGCATATTGCTAAGTGAAGGACACCAATCTGAAAGGGGTATATATGATATGATTCCACATTTATGACATTCTGGAAAAAGCAAAACTATAGAGAAAGTAAAAAGATAAGTGGTTGCCAGGGTTTGGGAGGAAGGAGGGATGAATAGATGAAAAGCAGAGGATTATTAGGGCAGCGAAAAAACTCCATATGATACCATAAGGGTAAATATATGTCATTGTAGATTTGTTCAAACCCACAGACTGTAAAGTAACAAGAGTGAACACTAATGTAAACTATAGACTTAGAGTGATTCTGATGTGCCAATGTAGGTTCACCATTTGTAACAGATGTACCACTCTGGTGGGGGATGTTAATTATTCAGAAAGGCTATGTATGTGTGGGAGCAGATAAGGCATATCTCGTAAGGCATATGGGAAATCCTTGTACCTTCCTCTCAATTTTGCTGTAATCCTAAAACTGTTCCAAAAAAATTAAGTCTCAATAAGAAAATTCTTGACAAAGTTTTTGAGCCTCTGCGTGTGATGAACAGCGATCCCAGATCTTCATTTGTCATTCCTATGTGCCAATCATCTCCTGCTTATAGATCTCAGCTAACAGAGACCTTGCAGAGAACCTAGTATTCTACCAAAGATGAATATGAGATCAGAGAAGTCAAGTTATTTTCCTAAGATTCCCCAGCCAACTAGATTTCTGTAAGCACTGCCACTAGCCTTATGAATTGCCCAATCTTGTGGCCCTAGTGGATATTTTTTGGAAGAGCAGGTTCACAGGCCATCAATACTTCAGAAATATATTCTTTATAAGCAACTTGTGAGAAATGAAAATGAATTAAACTACATCGGCCATGATTTTATACTTTTAATACTTTCAGCATGAGATAACTCAAAAGTTGAGATTCCATTTTTCTTTATGAACACAGCAATAATCCCCCACATTGAATTTTATAGCAATAGCCTTTTTGTTAGAAATGATTTAAAGCTGATATTTTAAACTTCTCTTAAAGTAGGAAACATTTTTGTAACCTGCATTCAAATTTTTTCAAAATGAATTGCAGATTATGCTTTTAAAATATTTTTATTGTTTTATACTTTGATCTGAAAAAAATAGATTATATGAATTATTTTAAGCTCTAAAATGAAACGTGGTTCTTTTTTTTATTGATAGTTATACCTCCCACACAGATTATTATGAATAAACTCAGGTTTTCATTGACATTAAATGTGATTAAAAATCAGGATTGTTTTTGGAAAGAAAAGTTTAAAAAACCATTCCTTCTATTTTAATAATTACTGCTTAACTAAGCATCTAAATGCAGCCCATATTGCTCCATTTATTATTAGAATTATAGATTTTATCCATATCATTAATTATTAGCATATTAATAATTGTTTCTATTTAAAAGGAAATTACTTTTTCTCAACTCTAATAGATTATTTAAAATATTTTTGGGCTGATCTGCCTGACAACTGAAGTGAAGTAGTATTAACATATATCTGATTATATATTTATAAATGTATTGTTTCTCATTACTAGCCTTT